GTTTCATAGAGTCAAAACGATAGGGTGTTCAATATTTCATTAATTTATTATAATAGATGAAAAAGTTTAGAAGTTATAAGAAAAACCATTGGTAAGCACTTATTTATATTCGTTAAATTACTCTCTCTCTCTCTCTCTTTTTCTCTTTTTCTCTTAGAGAAACTGAGAACGTGTCTGTGAATAAATTTCAGTGCTTTTAAGTACTTCCTCGTATGGCAATTATAGAGCGCTTTAATAGCAACTTAATCGTTCGTGCCGATGCAAATTTGGTCGTTTCTCCTACGGGACCAACGGGGTAATAAAAACTCAAGTCGTTCATTCCCTCCCCCTCCCTCTCTCCCTCCCTCCTCCTCCTCCTTCTCCTCCTTCTTCTTCTTCTCGTTCATTATACAGTCGGTATTATTTATCGTTAACTGCTACGATAAATTCAATATTACGACGTTCTCATATTTCCCGTATATTCGCTCGGTTACACTTACTCTCTCTCTCTCACACATACAAATAATAATATAATTTATATATATATATATGTGTTTACACTTATATAAAACGAGAAAGCTTAACTCGTCTTTATTTTTTAAAAAATCGAACGTGATCTTTACGATTAGGATGAAAGGTTGGAGGAGGAGGAGGAGGAGGAGGAGTGAGAGCAGAAACTTTTATTGTGTGAGATGAGAAATCCACAATCCATGTTTATTCTTTTGAAAGAAAGAAAGAGAGAGAGATTGATTCAAATCTTTTTTTTATATCTTTAACATCTGATGTTTATTTTCTATCATTCTTTGAAGCTTTTCATTTTTATATTTAATATATTTTTTTTTATGTATTTAAATATTCAGTGTTAAGTTGTTGGTTTTCGATAAAACTTTGAAACTACTGAATCGATTTTAATGACATTTTGTTCAATTTAACATATTGGGATCTCTAGCATTTGAATACGCTATCTGGTGGCTAAATTCAAAATTACAGTAGATAGATCGAATTGTTAAGTCACGTGGGATCTTTAGGAATTGAATACGCTATCTGGTGGCTTAATTCAAAATTAGAGTAGATAGGTCGAATTGCTACGACACGCCACTGCCAAAGATTCAGAATAGGATAGTTTTGATCGCGTTTATTTTTTATTTTTTATCGCTAATATAAAAATTTGTTATTTAAAGATTATGTAGATCTTTTAGTACTGTAACTTTTTTAATGAATGTAGCTGTAAAATTCTGTATCACAATGTTTGTCTACTTAGAACTTTGAAATTAGTTAACCAATCTTAATAAAATTTCTTTTATTTTATGTGATTTGTTTTTCAACTTAAAATATAGAATAATTTGTATCGCGTTTATTTTGTATTTTTTTTTTTTTATCGCTAATTTAAGGATTTATTATGAAAAAGGTTATGTAGGTCTGTAAGTACTGTAAGTTTTCAATAGATAGCGTTGTATTACAATTCAGTTATTTCGCTATATTCACGTCATACGTTTTTCTAACCTTACTCTTTTTATACTTCTTCCTGTATTATTATTTAATTGTAACAGTTTTTTTTTTTATTTTTTTTTTTTTTAGATAATCGTCGTTTAATTCAATTTTGTCAAGGTTTTATCTGATTAAAATTTGAATAATATCTTTATAGTGGAAGTCCATTTTGTTTGATTATTTTTCTAGAATAAAATCAACATTATTTTTGTTCACAGATCAATAAGAAAGACGACATGTCTTTTTTCTATTTTTTTTTTTTTTTTCAATAAATCGATCATATGAATATCGATGAGGATTTTTTTTTCTTTTTATCTAATTTCTCTTTCTCGATAAGACGTAAATGATTTCTAGATTTTTCAAGATAGTTTTTTAAGAATCTTCAGATTTTATCTTTTTCTGTTTCTTTATCTCTTCGTAGAAACATCGATCGTTGTCCAGATATTTTTTTCTTCTTCTTTTTCCCTCCCTCTTATTTCTTTTTATCCGATGGTAACAGACGTGTGTCACGTTCCTTACAGTCTCTTTCTCTCTAACTCTCTTTCTGTCTCTCTCTTTTAACATCGATGAAATGTAAGGAAGAAAAACTT